CCCCCCCCCCCTTTCTTCCTTCTCACGTGAAACAAATACACTGGTGAAAAACAGGAGGAATGTAAACACTACTCTATAGGCAAGTATTCTGCAATGAGTCCCTATGGGCAAGTATTCTGCAATTATTGTCTATAGGCAAATATTCTCCAATGGTTCCCTATGGGCAAGTACTGTCCTTTGTTTTAATATGTCCCGAATTACATACACCAAAACGAAGGCAAGAAGCACCTTTTCCATTGAAGCTGGGAAAGAAGTCCAATCAGTGGCCTCGCTGGCAACGAAGGAGCATCCGCACTGCAGAAATAATCCGGTTTGTCACCGCTTGAACTGCCACGGCTCCATTTTGCGGCATCTGACCGAGGCGGCTAAAAAGCTCACAAAACTACAAATCCCAGAATTCCATAGCATGGAGCTACGGCAGTTAAAGCGACGTCAAACTGTATTTATTACTTCTGCAGCGCAGATTAGACCGCTGTCGAATCTGCTCTTTGTGAAAAACTTTTGTGAAAGTGAGAACTCTTTAAATCTCGTGGTAAACTGAGATTTAGCTCTCTTCAGGCGTCCAACACACTGCAGAAACAATCCAGTTTGAGACCGCTTTTCACTGCCCTGGCTCAGTGCTAGGGAATCCTGGGAAATTTAGTCTTGTGTGAGACATTTACAGCATCCTCTGTCAGAAAGAGCTCTGGCACCACAGTAAAAACTACAATTCCCAGGATTCCCTAACACTTTGAGCCAGGGGCAGTTAAAAGCGGTCTCAAACTGGATTGTTTCTATAGAGTGTCTAGGACCTTGCTTCGCTGATGTATGAATTCAGGTTGCAGTTTACAACCCAGTTTGACACCACTTCAACTGCCTTGGTCCAATGCCATGGAATGATGGGATTTGTAGTTTGTTGTGGCCCTAGAGCTCGCTGACAGGGAAAGCTAAACGTCTCGCGAAACTACAGTTCCCAGGATTCCATAGCACTGAGCCATAGAAGTTGAAGTGCTGTCAAACTGGATTATTTCTGCAGTGCGGATGCAGCCTGAGTTTAGCGGTTCTAGCGGTATTAAACCTGATATTTCTGCAGTGAGGATGCAGCGCCCATTCACGCCTCATGAGGAGAGAGAGAAAGAGACAAGAGACTGTCTCCCCCTTGGGTTGTATGTACACTGGAGAAATAACCCGGTTTGGTACCGCTTTAACTCTTTCTGGCTCAAGGCTATGGAATTCTGGGAACTGGAGTTTGTTGTGGGACCCAAAGCGGAGCAAACTCCGGTTCCTAGAATTCCATAGCCTTGAGCCAGAAAGCGTTAAAGCGGTGCCAAACCGGGTTATTTCTCCAGTGTGGATGCAGCCTGAGTTAGGAAAGTCACTTGCCCCCTTATTCCTACCCCAACACAGAGCGAGAGAGAAAGAAATACAGCCGCCATTCTTCTTATGGAACCCAATTCCTCTTATTTTAACTTTTGTTTTCCCCCTCCTTACCGGCGCTTTTGGCGGTCCCTCAAACTGGCCCTGCGAGAGAGAGAGAGAATATGAGAGGAGAGTTTGAGATGGAGAAAGAGGCTACAGGAGAGAGGGAAAGGAAAGCGGCTGCCGGCCGCCTCAGGCCCGCGTCGAGGAGGAACAGCTGAAGCGAGAGCGACTTTCTAGGACGCCGCACACTTGGCGACTGGCGAAGTTGAAGGAACTCTTTAATGGCGACCCGCCCTTTTCCCCTCCTCCTCCTCCTCTTGCCCCGCCCCGTTTTCTAACTGTCAAGTGAGCGCGCGCCTGGTGGTGGATTGCGCGTGCGCAGGCTCGGAAGTACCGTTGGCCGCCCCGCCCCCTTTGCTCGCGCCTTCATGAGGGGAGGATTGTTTTGCTTTTGCTGCTGCAGCTGCTGCTGCTGCCGCTGCCGCCTCCTCCTCCTCCTCCTCCTGTTGCATTCTGGGATTTGCAGTTTATGGAGAGGGGCGTTTAGAATTCTTAGCCAGAGACCTCTCAGGCCTCACTGAACTACAAACCCCAGACTGCTACTACAAGGAGCCAGCCAGAGCATTAAAAAAGTGGCACCTTGAAGAGAACTACTAGCGCAGGGAGGCGTCGACACTTTGGTCCTGCAGATGTTTTGGATTTCAGCCTTCTCTGCCTCAGAAAACTACAAATCCCAGATTTCAGTGGGGTGGAGCCATGCCAATTAAACTGGTGTCAAATTGCATGATTTCTACAGTGTAGATGCACCCCTAATTGGTCTCTCCTTCCCAAACTTTGGTCCTCCAGATGTTTTGGGTTTCAGCCTTCTCTGCCAAAGAGTGCTGGTGCCTCAGAAAACTACAAATCCCAGATTTATGTAGGATGGAGCCGTGCCAGTTAAACTGGTGTCAAGTTGCTGAAGTCCAAAACATCTGGAGGACCAAAGTTTGGGAATCACTGATCTATCCTGTAGAAACAACACAGTTGCTCCGTCCTACAGAATCCTGAGATTTGTAGTTTGGTGAGGCAACGGCACTCTTCATGAGAAGCAGCTGAAAACCTTTTAAAACTACAAATCCCAAGATTCCATAGGATGGAGCTGTGGCACTTAAAAGTGGTGTCAAGC